CTACTCTGACCCTCGTTCACCCCTGAATCCTCACCCTCGTTGATAACTGTACACCCCTGCCCCCTAACGAACGTTCATTAATGGCCTATATTACTCGAACCACTATTTATACCTTTCCAGTTCTTATACGCCAATTGTAAGACGAATAAAGCCCAGCTCTAGGGTACTCGCTAATTCTCTCTCTTCGACTGTTTTGGCTTATACGTACAGAATCTCGCGACTCTATCTATTCCGATCATGACAAACAGATAAATTAGCTTCAGCTTGCCAGCGGGACAGCCAGTCCCCCCGCCCAATATACCCTCCACAGAAAGTGCTATAACATTTAGAAGAATCAGATCAATAGTTAATAGGCTGCTCTTGAGCCATCATACCGAAGGACACATTTTTGAGTAACACTGAGGTGTACTAGTTAACGAAAAGATCTCCAGTCTAGACGATAAGTGTTAGTATCGCTGTAAATGTCATTCTCAAGCAGACAGCACTAATCAGAGTACTTATAAGAGCTGGTGACTGTGTATGAGGCGGCTCATATGATGTCAAGCCACCTGAGCAGGCTTAACTGACGGAAGGAATCCCCTGGAGCTAAACCGTACCTATGGAACCTAAGTACGGCAAAAATAGGGGACATTCAGAGACGACAAGGTCAGAACACCGACGACGAATGCAGCTGGCGACTTAGTTCTTACGGGCTTTAGGCTTCGAAAAATACAGTATTTGTGCTCTACACCATTTCCAGGAAAACATATACAGCGAGAAGCCGAACATGTAAGGGCTTCACGAAAGGTGACAACGCATAGCCTATGATTCACTGCAGAAGTCTAATTTGCTGAATACATCCGATATCCACTTCATCGAGAGCGAGGGTTGATGGTGAAGGCGTAATTTACTAATGAGATTAATGAATTGTATTTGTTTACCCTGAAAAAGAAACAGGAAACAAAAAGGACGACGTCCTTAAGTCCTACCCGGAGGATGACGTTTTTGCTCTACAATGCAGTAGCCGCTATCATGGACGAGGCCACACCTTTCCCTCATAGCTGTCTGGCATCAAGTAGAGGTAATAGTCTTTTTCATGCTATAGTAGTATACTGGCAAAGACAGGCAACCCTAGGATAGCTATTTCTGGCTTTTTGGCCGTCGTCAGCTAGGGGTAGCCAACTATAGTGTAGCCGCTGAATACTACTATAACATAAAAAGATGTTACTGGAACTTAATTAGTAACATTACAGTTAGTAGCTTTGCGAAAACACAATCGGTTGATCCGAACTCGCAAAGCATCAACCAGGATGGGTACATCCTGAAAGGCAGATCGGTGTACAATCAACTACTAGTAATGGCCTCTTTCTTAATAATGGAACAACTGCAGTAAGCAGACATCTTCGATGCTGAGGGCACAAATGCAGCTGATTTATTTACTGGCAGTTATAGCGGTTGCTAATCGTCAACCTGACTGCTTAAAGCAACTTTAACGAACTAATCGGCCGAAAGTTATCCTTCGTCAACTCATAAGGCACCCGTGAGGTGATTCTAGCTTAGCAGCTCTGTTGTGCCCGATAACAGTTGCCCTCCACATACCGAGCATACGCCAATGGAGATTCGCGGTACGCACAAAGTCCAAATGCATTTACTGACACATAATCATGTAACGGTTGGTTTGAAAAGTCCCGGCTAACCTGCTTTCGCAGATTCCGCAGAGTCATCTCCCGTTGCCGATTGTAGGCAAGGAATTCCTCGCTAAAGATCGGTATCCGCTGAGTTTTTGGAGAACTAGTTGTGTCGGGCTCGGGTTCATGGGTCCGTTTCCCCCCCTTGGGCCCTCGTTTGCCCGACTTTGGGGAGTTTGAGGCCCTAAGACCCTCCTGTTTCGCTTGCCAGTCTTTGAAGGACTGCGTCTGTTTGTAGGCTTCAAAGTCAACTTTGTACTTTTCTCGCTCTCGGGAGGCCTGCTCGTTAAAAATTTGCTTCTGTTCGGGTGGCAAAGCAGCCCACTCGAGTCCGATCATGCGGTTTCTTTCACCAAAGGGCTTGGAAGCCAGGGCCTCTGACTGACTAATGCGATGACTCATATATAAATTGAAGGAGGATCTTGGTCGAGCCGGAGCATTGGGATCGCAGGATTTTTTAAGACGAGCCATTACTGACGCCTAGAAACTAGGATATAAAGAGAACAGAAAAAGGGGTTCGTAAAGACGGTACCTCTAGTGTCCGCATTGCACTGGGTTAACAAATAACAGTCGGAATGACTGTCTGGACTGTATATTCTTACATACTTACTGAAATTCATTGAGGTGACTTGGGAATTTTGGGTACGAGTGGGTCCCCAACAGCCG